CGGCCTGGTCCCCGTGGGCGGCCGGGCTCCTCGCGCGGGTGCGGTCCTCCTGGGGCGCTGCTGCTGGAGTGCTCCGAGGCGGCGTTTTCAGCCGTTCGTTGTTACCTGCGCAGCGGCGACCCGTGTGAGCAGCGCGGCAGGTGTCTGCGTTTGGTCAAAGATCGTAATGCTTTTGTACTCCTGAGACTTGTTTAAATTAAACTCTGATTCACGTACGTAATGGGTTGCTAATAAGGAATTAATTATGAAAAGAGGTTTTGTAGAATAGTAAACAAAGTAGAGGGAATAGTAAGAGGCCCTGAATCTAGGGGTTAAGTGATCCTTAGGCCTCCATGGATCACATAATAGCCTTCTACTTGAAATGTTTCTATCAAAATACCTTTTGCAGCTCAGTTCTGGTAGGGTTATCTGCCTGTCGCGCAGTAAACAGTGCCTTGAGCAGCGCTATGCAAACTGGCAACAGGCGGTCCCTTACACCTTCTCTTTGTTTTCCAGGTCTGTAGTGTGCATGGCTTCTGTGATGGGAGGGGCTTAGAAGAAGTGAAGCAACCTGTTATCAGTTTGAATTCCTTCTTATGCATAAGCATGCAGCTCATTGCTCCCTCCTTTCCCTGGAAAGGCATCACAGATGCCTAGAAAGGCAAACACCGGGAATAATTTTTATCGAAACCTCTTCCAATAAGATTTTGGTTGCAAATCTTCTCTAATTTGTCTCTTCTCTGATATATTTATCAAATGTGATTCTAGCTTGTTTGGTGTTTCATTACCTTTTACAGGGTTTAGGAGGATTTACAAAGTTATTATTTAGTATTAGATATACTTGTTATAAAAATCATTGGAAAAAATGTCATTGTTACTGGCTTTTAGAACATTAGTATTCTTTCTACACTTAAACATCTAATAGGCACAAATCAGATATTAGTCTGGCCACAAGTACTCTTACGTGTGTTTAAAGAATAAATGAGATGTTGGGGCAAGCCAGTTTTGGAAAAAAGAAAAAAAGAAGGAGAAAAAAGGGGGCATTTAAAATCAGCTCCTAGACTTCTCTGTAGCATTACACTTAATTTAGTGCAGCTTCATTGTTTGTAACGGACTGTGATTTAACACGTACCTACTGATTTATACTTCATTTTAAGAAAAAAGAAGTGGCCGGTCCTGTGGGAGGCCATAAACACTAGAAAGAATGTTTTCAGGCTTCATTCAGCATGTCCTTGTATAGTCTCTTGCATTGAAAAGATAGTCCAATACAAACAAAAAAGAAGTTGGCTCAGATTTTGGCAAATAAGAGAAAAGGAAAAAAAATCCTAACCACAATGAGGAAGCTTGATGCTGCTGCAATGTGATTTTGCTGGATTGAGCTACCATAAAATAGCAGCATAAAACCAGGGAAATACAACGCGGTTCAGCTCACAGGTATCTGGGTGACACCCTGAAGTTGTCTATTTTCACTGGAGAAAAGAAACATAGTGTTGATCAGTAAGAAATGAGGTCGATCTGTCTGCCTTTCCATATCCGTCATATTCCTAGCCGACATTGAAACATCTTTCTGTTCTGGTTTTTGTAGGGGGCTTTTTCTCCACCATCTTTTCCAGTTTGTTTGGAACTCGAGAGATGAGGATTCTCATCCTGGGACTGGACGGAGCAGGAAAAACAACCATTCTCTACAGGTTACAAGTTGGAGAAGTTGTTACCACCATTCCGAGTGAGTGATCAGTCCCTTAGTGAAAATAGCCCATTTGCCTGTAGCTCTAACATGTAAGCTTTATCAGCTGAACTTGCTACACGTTTCCTTCGTAAACAAAAGGACCTCACGTTGTGGGAGTCTTGCACGGTTGTATTTAAGAACTCTCTTGCATAACGGTATTACAGTGTGCTATAGAAGTACTACATAAATGAATATTTTATGCTGCCCTGCTGAATGCAAAAAGTATTTGACCTTAAGATTGTTACCATGAATTGGCAGGCTTTTCTTGATAGGTAAATGTTCAGTAAATGGTAACTGTTGACTGTGTAAGTCTTTTGTCTCCAAATATAGCTATAATGCGAATGCTAGAGATCATTATTATTGTACAAAAAAAATTTTACATAGGATGGTGTCAGTGAATCATACCTATCTAATTTCTTTTTTTTTGACAAGGGTCTTCAGTTATATAAACACTTCTGGTTAACACAGAGAAGAAGAAGAAATCAGATGGTTTAACTTTACATTATGTAGAAAGTTTAACAAAACTCAATGTGAGATCTCATGGAAGGAGATTACGCTTATTTAAAAAAATGTAACTGGTTTCACCAATTGTCTTAGCATTCGTGCAGCCATACCCACCTATTACAAACACCCAGACGCGTGTGCCGAAGTGGTCTGGCTAGGATCACTCTGTGTAACGTGAAGGACAAGGGATGCTTGGCTTTTAAGTCCCTGTCACGTCTCTTGGGTTCCTCCTGAATGGCCACGATAAACTGCCTTTGGCCAGGTCTTTTTTAACTTTTAGAAGCCAGCAGTTTACTATGCCATAATCTTTTTACCCTAGGGTTTTGCTTATTTCAGCCTCCATAAACTTCAGGCAGTCTGCGTCCATTGTTCACTTCCCTGTGTTGTGTTTCTCTGGGCTGGCAGGAAAAGGAAGGACATACGTGATACGCTGTAACCATATTGCCATCTTCCGGATACCACAGTGTCAAGTCTTCTGCTGAGAAGTTGGTTCTGCTGTGGTCTTACGAGAGCGCAGATCCGGTGTTGACACGAAAGACACGTTCCTTAGTGTTTTATTGCTGTCAGTTGTGTACTTGGTTATCAAAACAGGCCATTCCTTTAACCCCTTGCTCTGTTTCTTTTGGTGATTTCAGGCACGCTTCCGTTCGTTTTTAACCATACTACCATTTGTTACAAATCTCTACAATGCGTTTTTATTGTTCAAAGAAAAAAATGACTGCATTATTTTGAGCCATAAATATTTGTTGGGGTAACAACTTCGCAAAGGGCATGAACTTCATTATGTAGATACTGAGAATTTTCAGGCCTGAAAATTTTAAACTAAGTAAGTGCTGTAATGTTCTTCAGAAAAATAAAGAAAAATCGCCAACAGTGAAATTGTTTAACTTTGTTTCAGCCATTGGCTTCAATGTTGAGACAGTGACGTACAAGAACCTGAAATTTCAAGTTTGGGACTTGGGAGGACAGACAAGCATAAGGTAATAGATCTCTTAAAATCAAAAGATATAATTAAATTTCTCTAAAAAGTGCTAAGTTCTTGGAATTCTCATAGCTGGCACGTCTGAAAATTGGTTCTTTGAAGTTTTAAAAACAGCCTGTCGTCAGGAGAGCACTTTCATCTGACTGAATTCAGTTAGTGGAACCTGTTTTGGACTACAGATTGGAAAGAAGCAAGTGAATGTTTTCGCTTGTCTACAGTTTTGCTTTGAAAAACAAGTTTACTTGTGTATTAGGCAATTGTGTAGCATTCTGAGAAAGAGGGAAGTGAGTGATGTAAACCCAAAAAGATATTTAAATATTCTTAAGAATGCAAAGCTAGGAAGTTGAATTTAGGTGTAGATGATAGGGGTTTTTTAGCAAGCTTTGCAAGTTTTGTAATGAGTCATTATATGCATAATTGTAGTGATCTCTTCAGTAGGCCTGTATGGTCTTTTTGTGATTCCTTTTTGAACGCTAGGTAGTAAGGTGCAGTGTAGTCAGTTGGTAAGTAAGGTGCGGTACTAACTGCACTAAGGTGCAAGTTCCTTCCCTTTTTAGTTTCAGTAAGATAATTCTGAAAAAGGTGGTTTGTTTTGATCCTTGTTAATTACTTGCCTGTATGAATTAGTCATTTAAGATTTCTCTGTTTATCCTTCTTTGGTGACCATTATGATTATCTATGGCAGAAGCTTGTGTGTGTTAAACTTTCTTTGCTTCCCTGTCCCTCAGTTATGGACCTGATGTCCTGCAGGCTGATTCCCAAATAAATCTGTCCACAACACTTCTGTCCTTTCCCTGTTTTCAAGCTGCTTTCTCTCTCTCTCTCTTTTTTTCCCCCCCCTGCTATTGAGAGTATTTGTACTGTCTGTTCCTTTTTGTAGCCTCTACTTGCTTCCTGGGGCCTTTCTCTCCAGAGACAGCTTTATTTCCTCTGGGTAATCTGGTTTTCATTATCTGGCTAAAAAGCACTGCTAAAAGTGCAAATTATGTGACTGGAACTTATCTTTCTTCTGCAGGCCATATTGGCGGTGTTACTATTCAAATACAGATGCAGTCATTTATGTAGTGGACAGCTGTGATCGAGACAGAATTGGCACTTCAAAATCAGAGCTTGTTGCTATGTTAGAGGTAAGAAAACAAGGATGACAATCGTGTCAGTAGAACAGAAATCGAGAAATTAAAACCTTTTTTTGGAGCGAATGTGAAATTTGATTCAGTGAACCAAGTGAAGCTCAACTTCACTTGTGAAACTTCAGCCCTCAGAATAGGCCCGTGCAGCACTTCTGACTGAAAAGCACTGAATACGCTGCAGGTATTTCAGAGCTTTGTGCAGCGCTGTCTGGGCAGTAAGTTAGTTACATGTAGCCTTTCGGTGATACGAAAATTTATCTGTCTGCAAGGACAGCCGCTCGGTACTTCAGTGGTGGCAAAAGCAGGCCCTGAAGGATTAACAGTAATTAGTATCCTACTGTGTTTTGAAGCTGAAGAATGTATGTAGAACAGGGTAATACGAGTAAGAAGGCAAGTTGAGCAAAACTTCATCCCCCCCCCCCCCAAAAATTCCACCACGTCTTTGATATGCCTTGTTAAATCCAACTACCAGCTTGTTTCATAATGTAACAGGCATAACCGGCCATGTTTTGAAATTGTTCCTATGTGGTATCATGCTGGAATTGAAAGTAAATACCATTCTTTCACTGAAGAATTTTATAAAGAACAAAAATCAGCAAACTGAAAAACATCATGAGAGCTGCTGAAGTTTCTTTCCATTCTATGGGTTTTCTCTGCTTAAATAAATTCAGTAAAAGTCTCTGCAACAACTTGCATGATTCCCCCTTTTTTAGGAAGAAGAGTTAAAGAAAGCCATTTTGGTGGTGTTTGCAAATAAGCAGGACATGGAACAGGCCATGACTCCCACAGAAATGGCAAACGCACTTGGCTTACCGGCTTTGAAGGACCGAAAATGGCAGATATTCAAAACTTCTGCAACTAAAGGCACAGGGCTTGATGAAGCAATGGAATGGTGAGTAACAGTCTAAATCACGCTAGCTTCATTAGAAAAATATCTTTTACCTTTTTTTTTTTTGAAGACTGGATCTGTGGAAAGGCTGTCTGACATAAGAGACAAGAGTCCACATTAGAAGAAAAGAGTAGCTTCCTCCTGAAAGTATTTCAACATCATTGAAATGACTTTTCAGTAAACTAACTTAACCTTTTTCCTAGGTTGGTGGAGGCCTTGAAGAGCAGGCAGTGATACTGAGCTGACCATTGCAAAGAAGCTTCAGCTCTATCCAACATCCCTCTTTCTGCAGTCAAGAATTTTCAGGCCACAAATACTTGTAAATAGGATGGATTTGAGTTCGACTCCTGTAACGTGGGTCCCTCTCTTGAATTGTAAAACTGAACCAAGTGAATGTCTGTGTACGTTTCAATATTCCATTTCTTTCTTTCTGTTTAAAGGATGTACTTACGTTAATTTGTATGAAAGTCTTTCTTAGGGGCTGGGAAAGGGTTTTTTTTGTCCAGCCCCCC